GTTATGTCAGATTCTCCAGCTTCGGCAGTTCCTACTATCTCTAGTCATTTTGCTCCAACTGTTTTTGTTTTATTCACTTGTGGGATGTGGGTATCACTGTCTGGTCCAGCATTTATTGCCCATCCCTAGTTGCCCCGTGAGATGGTGGTGGTGAGTTAGCTTCTTGAACCGCTGCAGTCCACCTGCTGTATGTTGACCCGTAATGCCGTTAGGGAGGGAATTCCAGAATATTGACCCAGTGACACTGAAAGAATGGCGATATATTTCCAAGTCACGATAGTAAGTGGTTCAGAGGAGGGGACCTTGCAGGGGATGGTGTTCCCATGTATCTGCCTCTCTTGTCCTTGCAGATGGAAGTGGTCGTGAGTTTGGAAGATGCTGTCTGAGGATCTTTGGTGAATTTCTGCAGTGCATCTTGTAGATAGTACACACTGCTGTTACTGAGCGTCGATGGTAGAGGGTGTGAATGTCTGTGGACATTGTACAATCATATTTAAAGGAAACTACAACAACTTAACTGATGTTTCAAGACCAGTATGACTTTTTTCAGGAGAAATAGTTTCTGAAAAAGAGTCAATGTCAGACTCGAAATGTTAACTGTGTTTTTCTCCCTCCACAGACGTTGACATACCTGCTGAGTTTCTCTGGCACTTGCAGTTTTTATTTCACATTTCAAGCATCTGCAGTATTTTGCTTTAATTGTGAATGAACAACAACGACGTGCACTTATCTAGCACCTTTTTAATAGAAAGTGATTCTGAGGCACTCCACAGGAGCAAATTAAGTTTGACACTGATCGAGTCACAAAACTAGGCTGGTGTAACATGTGGAGGAGCTCCCTGATGTTTCACAAGCAGTTTGAAGGCTTTGTACCCCCCTTGCTGAACTCAGTCACCAACTTGGAGAGGATGGGGGAGGCATCAGGAGTAACAGGGGAAAGGGAGACGCAGGATAAATTCTCCAGTTCACAGTTGACAGGGACATTGAGCAGTGAATGAGTACTTGGAAGCTGTAGCTGTATCACTGATCTTTCCTCCGTCCCTATGTAGCTCTGCACTGAGAAGGCAGGATTAGTGAAATCATGTGCATCAGTGAGCCTAAAATCATTTGTCAAATGAACAAATGTCACAGCAACTTTGGGCTGTAGAGCTGTTTTCTAAAAATGATACAATGTGCCTATTCTTGAGCAGGCAGTGGAACATGTAATTTCTCATATACAATATTGAATGCATCAGCCTCCCACCTTTTACAAGATGCATGTGGATAACAATCTGCAGATGGGATTTGGAGCTATATCCTGGGGAATCAAATAAATCTGTTGCTGAAAACTCTGCACAGATGGGGTGAATATCTACCTCCCACAGAACTGAATGGACATCGATAATCTTCCACCAGGCTTTTGGCAAACAACATATGACAGCATCACTGAGATCTGTAGGGTGTTTACTTCTATACACTTTGATTAGAGTCTGTGAGAAACATAGAGCCAGTTAGACACTGCTGAGCACCAGAAGGAACCCTTGCCAGTAAATTAATGAAAGAGAATGTTTGCTTATCTAGAAGGTGTTGATACAGAGTGAGTTACAGACTGAAATCTAATCGAGGGGCTCGGCGTGGTTTATATATAGAATAACAGATCGCCGGGAGTGAGTTACAGACTGAAATCTAATCGAGGGGTGTGGGGAGATTTATATATAGAATAACAGATACCCGGGGAGTGAGTTACAGACTGGAACCTAATCAAGGGATTCAGGGTGATTTATATATGGAATAACATATACCCAGGAGTGGGTTACAGACTGGAATCTAATCGAGGGGTTTGGGATGGTTTATATACAGAATAACAGATACTTGGGTGTGAGTAACAGACTGGAATCTGAGTGAGGGGTTTGGAATGATTTATATATAGAATGACAGATATCTGGGAGTGAATTACAGACTGGAATCTAACCGAGGGGTTTAAGGAGTTTCTATAGGATAACGGATACCAAGGAGTGAGTTACAGACTTAACTCTAATCAAGGGGTTCAGAGGGGGTTTATATATAGATTGTCAAATACTCAATGATGAATTATAGACTCTAATCTAAGCATGGGATTCGGGTGGTTTATATATAGAATAACAAATACCTGGGAGTGATTTACAGACTGGAATCTAATCATAGAGTTCGGGAAGTTTATACATAGAATAACAACAGATCCTCAGGAGTGATTTATAAACTGGAATCTAATCAAACTATTTGTGGGTTAAATGAAGAACAGAGGATGCTCAGGGTCAGTTAACAGGGAACATTCTAGAGAGTAGCTATCTGCGATGATGATAAACCAATCCCTAGCCCTAATTCAAGGGTGGTAAGGCTGCATGCTAGGAATCTGATTGATATTTTTGGAGGAAATGTTGGTGCTAGCTCAGCTAATGTATGTTATTGCTGAGGAATAGAACACTTCTCATTTAATCAACCAATGTCTCCCTACATTATCCAACACTCACTGCCGGTGTGAGTGAAAAAAAAAACAGCAAAGCTTTCTCAATTGTCAGATTTATCACAGTTTATTTCAGGAGAGGAAGAAGAGAGAGATAATTAAGGGAGAAAACTGTGAAAGAAATTACTGAGAGATAAAATCAGTGAGCGGACATTTTCATCACAGTATATCCCCGAGTCTCACAGTTTGCTTTGTAACTCTACTGGTTAATGAGTCATTCCATTTTCTTTGGCTCAGATACTCCATTGAACCACAGTCGTACCTGGACAGAGCATTCACCATCAATGCACAGAACGGGATTATAAAAACCACAGAACCACTGGATAGGGAGCTAACAGCCTGGCAGAATATCTCCGTGATTGCAACAGAAGTCAGTGAGTATTGAGAAGCAGTTGCCTTTTTAAAACCCAGAGCAAGGAGGCTGAGTCTGGGTTATCAGAACTGTCATGGCTGATCCATAAGTAAATGCTATTGCTGCCGTTAATGAGTCAGCTGTTTTTTCTTGCACAACACTCTTTTCACGAAGTCAGAAAGTCATGGGTACCCTTGTATATAATGCGGTCTGGTTTTAGTTGCTGTCCGTCCTGAGGGAGCGCTACATTGTTGACAGAATCATAGAATCCTACAGTGTGGAAGCAGGCCTTTTGGCTGATCGAGTCCACATCGACCCTCTGAACAGCATCCAACCCAGACCCAACCCTTACTCTGTCCCTAGGACTCTTCATTTCGCATGGCTAACCTACCTAGCCTGCACATCCCTGGACACTTTGGGCAATTTAGCGTGGCCAATCCACCCTAACCTGCACATCTTTGGATTGTGGGATGAAATGGGAGCGCCCGGAGGAAACCCACGCAGACGCAGGGAGAGTGTGCAACCTCACACAGACAGTCGCCCAAGGGTGGAATTGAACCCGGGTCCCTGGCGCTGTGAGGCAGCAGAGCTAACCACTGAGGCACTCTAGTGAGGAGTGCCATTGTTCAATGAAAAGTCAAATCCACTCCCTTGGGTGGATTTAAAGGTGCCATGATGCACCTCAAAGAAGAACACAATACTTCGCCCCAGTGTCGTGGACAAACTTGATCCCTCTATCACTAAAAGTGGATGACAAAACCATTTTTCTTGGTTTGGTCCTAATAACTGCACAAATGAAAAGCCTTGACACTATGTCTCTTGTTTCAGCAAGATGACATTCAGTGGGACTTTGCTCTGTACAGAATTGGCACTTTTGCTGTTAATTCATGGGATCTGGTTTGGGCCAACCCTCACTCTCCATTCCAAACTGGCTATGAGAAGGTGGGAATGAGTTACTATCTTGAACCACCACAATCTGTTTGGGATTGGGACACCCTCAATCCTGGATGCAAGGGAGTTCCAGGGTTTTGACCCAGCAACACTGAAGGAATGGCGATATATCTCCAAGCCAAGAAGGTGAATGGCTTGAAGGGGAGCTTGCAGGTGGTCGTGTTCCAGTATAAGTGCTGCCCATGTCCTCCCAAGAGCTAAATGTTGCAGATTTGGAAGCTGTTGACACTTTTTCTACCTTGTGACTGTTCAATACAGGTAAACATTCTAATTAACATCAGAATCATAGATTCCTACAGTGTTGAAAGAGGCCATTCAGCTCATCATGTCCACATTGATCCCCTGAAGAGCATCCTACCCAGATCCTGGCCCCCCCACCCTAACCATGCATGTACCATGGCTAATGCACCTAATCTACACATCTTTGAACTGTGTGAGGAACCCCACACAGACACCAGGAGAATGTGCAAACCCCAGACAGACAGTCACCCGAGGCTGGAATTGAACTTGGGTCCTTGGTGCTGTGAGTCAGCAGTGTTAACCACTGAGCCACCCTAATGTAGAGAAACACAGAGGAAATTAAAATAAGAGATGAGGCTAGTGGTGGCCACGCTTTTCCAAGCCATCCTTTATACTCAGAATCCTTCTATTTGGTTATCTCTGAGCAGCTCAGAAATAAAAATCAATGTGCAGATTACTTGCTGTACTCAAAAGTAAATGCTTGTCACTCTACTTTGTAAACACTATTGATTTGGCAAAGCAGTGTCTTAAAATAATATTCTCTCCAATTTTCACCCTCCTCCCTATAATTTTGCTTTTCATTATTCATTCTCAAAATATGGGCATTGTTAAAAAGGCCAACAATCATAGGCCATCCCCTCAGGGCCCTGAAATGAGTGAATTGCAGGAATAGCTCAGATGTCAATAAATAATCAAGCATGTTGATATGGGACTCGTGCCATGTGTTGGCCCAGACTGGAGAAGGAGGCACTTAGATGAACTAAATGAGTTCTTACACAATGTTTGTGAAAAGCCCAATCGAAATGCAGTTATACCTTTCCTCTATCTCCCTTCCCTTCAATTGTTTTCTCATAATTTCTTTTTCTTTCCTTTTTCCCCACCATCTTATTTTCATTCTTCTTTTATGTTCGTCTTTTCTGTTTTTCTGCCTTTCTTTTACATGGGGACTTTGCAGACGGAGATTTACGCTGTCTCTCACCCCAACTGTACCTGTACTGAAAGTCTATGATGGAGACAGTGTAAAAGTTTCATGTCAGGGGTGCGTTCATGGTGACAGAAGTTGACGAATATTGGAGATGCTTCAATGAATTATCCGTGGAAAATAGAACATAAATGGGAAATGCAAAATAGCAAAGCCAAAAATCCTCTGTCAGATTGTGAACTGGGGGCTTAGACAGTGCGATGACATACATCAGTATTCCTTCCTTGAATGTAAATCTAATAGCTCACTATTTAATCAATGAAACAAATTACAGATTTAATCCGCTAAGGGTTTGATGAATTAATAGTTTCATTATCCTGGCACTGTTTAACCCACATGGGCAACTGCACTTAGAATCTGTCTCTTATTATAGGTGCTTGGCTTCGTCAAATTCTGTTGTTCCCTTCGACATAATTGTTCACTGAATATTAACATGTTCGAAACAATCCTGGTGATTAGTGTTTTGAGAACAGGTAAACAATAGTGAGAGCTTGATGACATTGCACACAAATTAACAAGGCCCTTGCCAAGTCTAGACAACAACTATTCTTGTCACTCCCAGCAGATGGTTCCTCTAGCAGCAGTGTTTTTGTGACCTATCCTTTCCCAATAGACAAAAAAAAACACTGAAATGTATCCTTGATAGCTATTTGCTGGAATTAGCTGAATGGAGATGCATGCCCAGTTATGGATGAGCTTGAAACGTATTGTTTTGTGTTTCGAAGCCTCCAGGAGTGTCCAAATTCAAGGACTGTAATCTCCTGAACATTACTGTGCATAAAATTCCAGGAGAGAGAGCAAGGGAAAATATTGTTTTCTTCTGTAATCATTTTCTTTGAACATCCTTGTAGATGTGGAGGGTGGCAGGATATAGCCATTTGACTGCATGGAGCAGTAAGATATTGTTTGTCACATGTTGAAACAAGCAGGAATATATCCAACCAGAATTGGTAATTCATTCATTGGCGGTCCCTTGCAGATGAGGATAACTCTCTTCCACTCTCAGGGTGAGTCCGTATACAGACCAATGTGGCAACCACAGGCTCTGTTACACTTGGGGACAGATGGTGGTCACAGGAAAGGGTGGGTGGGCTGTTGGTATGGCAGCGCGCTCCTTCTGCTGCTTTCACCTGGCTTCCAATTTCTCCTGGTGGCAAGTCTCGAGGTGCTCGATGCCTTCCCAGATGCTCCAGCTTCACTTTGGATGGTCTGGGGCCACTGATTCCCAGATGTCTGTGGGAATGCTGCACTTTGCCAGTGAGGCCTTGAGGGTATCCCTGAAGCGTTTCCTCTGTCCACCTGGGGCTCACCTGCCGTTTCAAAGCTGGGAGTGGAGCACCTGCTTGGGGAGTCTCATGTCATCATTGGTAATACACTGAAGCAGTGTCTGTACTCTAATACAAGCAAATTACCACAGATGCTGGAAATTAGCTTTCTTTTTAAATTCATTCACGTGATGTGGGGATCACTGGCTAAGCCAATATTTATTGCCTATCCCTAATTGCCCAGAGGGCAATTAAGAGTCAATCGCATTTCTATAAGCCTGGAGTCACATGTAGGCCAGACCAGGTAAGGACTGCAGATTTCCTTCCCAATAGAGAACCAAATGGGCTTTTCCAACAATAATTTCACGGTCATTTGATTTTTTTTTAATTCAAATTCCATCATCTGCAATGATGAGATATGAACCCAGGTTTTTGGGACAGTGCCTGGGCCTCTGGATTAATAGTCTAGCAATAATATCACTGTGCCACTGCCTGTCTACAATCTGAAACAGAGAATGCTGGAGAAACTCTGCAGGTCCAGCAGCACTTGTGGAGAGTAAAAGAGAGTTAATGTTTCCATTTGACTTCTTCAGGACTAAAAGATATTAGAAAATTGTGGGGTTTTTTTGTACTTTTGACAGAGCCAGATAAGCAGCGAGAGCAACAGATGATGTGCAGACCTAATGCAAAAGACAAAGATGTTGTTAATGCTGACAGAAAGAAAGATAGAGATTTATTTTTTCCTTTATTCATTAATGGGATGAGGGCATCACTGACTAGGCAGCATTTATTGCCTGTTCCTAATTGCTCAGAGGTTAAGAATCAACCACATTGTTGTGAGTCTGGAGTCACATGTAGGCCAGACCAGCTAAGGTTGGCAGTTTCATCCACTAAAGGATACTAGTGAATGTGAACCAGATGGGGTTTTCCAACAATCAACAATGGATTCATGGTCATCATTAGACTCTTAATTCCAGTTTTTTTTAAATTATTGAATTCAATTTCCACGAACTGCAGGATGTGAACCTGGGTCCCCAGAACATCACCTGGATTTCTGGCTTAATAGCCCAGTGAAAATACCATTAGACCATCACGTCCCCAATAGTTTCATCTCCCTGATAGTAAATTGAAGTATGGGAAGGCAAAAATGAGATGTTAGATCAAAACTCTCACCCTGCCTTCTCAAGTAGGCATGAAAGAACTTTTCAACAAAGGGCAGGAGAGTTATACTCAGTTTCTTGGCCAATATTTATCCCTCAATCACCACATCTTGAAAGAGAGGTGATCTGGTCATTGTCACATTGTTATTTGTGAGATCTTGCTGTATACATGTTGGCTGCCCTGATCCTTGCATTATAACAGCAACTGTGCTACACAGTGTTTCATTGAGTTTTTGGGACATCCAAGCTTGTAAAAGTGTTACATAAATGCAAATCTTTGTTCCATATTTCACTGTAGCTGAGTATGTGCCTGTCTCCCTCTATCTTCACCTCTCTGCTCTATGCTTGTTTTCCTGTGCTTTACCTGACTACTTACAGCTTTCATTTCTTGACACCATGAATAGACAGTCTCCCAAAAGGGCCA